CACGCCTCCGGCCGCGTGCTTGCTCCGCCTGACGTCGATGAGTCGAGGGGCACAGCCTCGTCTGCACAGCATTTAATGTAGAATCTTGATTGATGTGTGCACTCCACCATTTGGATGATAAAACCTCTTCATATGGGGCGTTCGGTTAATAGATGTTAATAGAACATCCACACACGATCCACTTCAGCTTCCCTTGGCTGAATAGAGTTGACGGTGCCTACACACCAAATCTTACCAGCAAGTAGATCATAGTCCTTGCTTCGGGTGCAATTAGGACTAGCAGTCCTCCGAGGAAACATTGTCGCATAAAAATGGGAAGACCCTTTACAATGCTTATTAGAGGGAGAATCCATATATGTACAGTATCAGAATAAAGGTATTGTTCAAAAGAACCACTGCAAACTTGCAAGAACACGGCCCGTTCTCCATCCGGACTCCATCCATTCTAATTACTTGCATCTGCACATGACAGGCCATGAAGCATCTTAAAAGCATCGCCACCTTCGAAAGTCCACGCCGTACCAATCCGCCGTCCACATGTCCCACCACCCAAGCTGACACTGCCCACCTTGCAATGCAGCCACAGCCCGAAGATACTCCTGCAACATTGCTAAGGCCAGCCCTGGCATCGCCAGCGATCCCCGGGATTGGAATTGAGGAAGCCGCCGGGGATCGGGCCGGAAGAGAAACCACTCAGCTGGGGGTAAAGGCAATGCATGTGAGGAAACATGCCTTGCACGCCGGGGCGTGAAAGGATAAACTACTTAAAATATGGTGCCTTTCTGCAGGGTGGCTGCGCGCCCACAGCCCAGTGCTATCTTCCTTCGTTGGGAACTTCCGTCATCCATCCTGGTCTATCAGGTTCATCTTTCCCATAGATCAAGAATTCACGTCAAAACAAGAACACCTTCAGACTGTACATCTCCTTCAATAATTCACTCAAAAAATAAGCATGATTCATGATCGTCTGAAGTCTGAAGTGTGTCTTTTTCAAGCTTGCCTGGTTGTCTTTGGTATCTTCATGTATCTTCATGTATCCTCCCACTCAACCTACTTCGCATGAATTCACCTGCTACCTACTCTGCAGCATGGTCTGCCCCTATCCTCTCAGCGCCTTTGCGTCGATGTGCCTCTTTCACCACCACCGAGTGAATGCAAAGAAGGCGCCCTCAGCCGAGCCATTTGACTGTGGCTGAGATCGGCCCCAGAAAAAAAACCGGGAACCATTTGACATCATCCTACGAACCATCACGAAGCAACCAGGGAGGACAGCCATCCACTTGTCGGGCTCCTCTTAGGTGTCGGGCTAAGGAATCACATTAGATCACCAAATGCCTTGACACCCAATCCTGGCCTCCAGGCTGATGAGTCTCCATGGCCTCTTCCGTCAAGGTAGTGCCATTGATGCAAGTGCCATTCACAAAGCCCAGCAAGCTGGAGCTCTTGGAATCCTCATGCGGCCGAAGAGTTCCACGTGAAACTGTTCGGCTCGAGCTGTTCGTCAGAGCGTGAGACCCGCCACGCAAGTGTGCCAAACGTCGGAGGGTCGAACCTGAGACCTTGTGAGTCGAGTGACCCTTCCAACCGTGATGCGTGGACAAAAACATCCCCAGCGATGAATCCACGCGTGATCACGCGTGTGACGCCGTGCATCCATCAGTGCCCAAAAGAAGTCCCCCGCCACGCGCTGCCGCTGTGCCATACTCTCTGGGGAGGCCGCCTCAAAAAGGCGGTGTCAACGCTGTTTCTTGGTCTGAACGGTTGTGCGAAGTGATTGCTCCAATCATCCAGTCAAGCTGGCCCGTGTCATGCAGATTCTGTGGGAAGGGAGGGTTGAGAAGGTGCAAATATGCAGGTGTTTGATGTCTACAGGAATTCTTTGTGCTCATGACTTCACAGAGCAGCGAGCGCTGGTGGCATTGGTGAACAGCAAAGGTCCTCGCTAATTCACCTCTGCTAGTTGGATGACCATGTCCCCATGAAAAACATAAAGTCTATGATCATATGCTGGCTGAACTATACCTAAACACTAGTGGTGTTTCTTACCATCCCGGCAAGGTCAATGACCTGAGACTTGACTGGCTCCTCGTGTCGGTTCTTGTAAGATCTGCAGCATGTCAAATTTGTCAACTTTGACCCTGATCCTTCAGCAGACGCAGCTGAACACCTGCCATCCCGTTCCAAACGGTACACCCTTGACCGAAGGCACCCTTCACAGCCATTGATCAACAAAGAGCGACTCAACAAATATCAATAAACCTGATACATGATGGATTGGTGTCATGATGATCGGACGTTGGATCATGATCGGACACCACCACACCATCTACTGGCCCCCTCCATTTCCCTGGACAATCAGGGCGGGGACTTGAATCCCCCCACAGCTGCACGGTCCACTGAGGTCGCCTCATCCTCGGGATATGAGGCCGCTTCCAGTTCGGCGCACTCCGGCAGCTGTGTCACCTCCACCCGGCGCAGCTCCAACTGGTGGCCACCCGGCAGCACCGGCAGGGGCCGTGCCATGGTGATCACACGCAGTCGAAGGTTTTCGGAACTGATTGTCTGGTATAGTCCTGGTGGGGTCTGGAGTGGGTAGCTATAGAATGGCTAAAAGGTAATAAGCTTCTAAATGTCTGAGTCAATCTGAATAGGAATCACGTAGCCTAATCCACGGGAATATGCATGAATTAAGTCAATGTTCCTGCAACAATAACCGTGCTGTGTGTTGCTGTAATTTCATCTGAATTGTTTGGAGATGTATTTCTATTTGACTACTTGGCGCTCGGACACGCTCCATAGGACCTTAATATATGAGTAACTTCCTGTGAAACAGCAAATGTCGTTTTCCAAAGGGTGAGTTTTTCATTGTGTTTTTTCTGGTTGGCTGGCTGCCCGTGTTGGTGGATTCCAATTTCATGTCATCTACAAAATCTGCAAAAAAACAAAGCTTCTCCCTTTGTACCGTAAACTAACTTGGAGACATGAGTGGCCCTACCAACCAATGGGATGCCTGCATAGCGACATAGATCAAAATTTATTGCAGAAAGCCGCCAGGCCTGTGGAACGAAAAAGCAAGGCTACGTACTTTCAATGTGAACACCCCAACGCTCGCAACATGGCTTTTGTTCAGACATTGTGTACTTTGGACTTAGGCAAGCTGAATGACAAAAGGACTAGGCCTATCACAAATCCATTCCCTTTCTCCCGAAAACAACGTTGGCATTCAGAGCAAATTTCCACGTACATCTTATATATATATAGTCATAGTCGCGGGGAATGCATGCCAACAAACAAATGCCACAGATTCCCCTGCCTTTCTGACGTCTGATCCTACCAGCTAGCACCAATCGATGAATGTTTGCACCGCATGACATAGTGATTACATAGTGAACAACATGTAATAGGCCAGCGCTTCAGGACAGTGGGGACGAAAGCGAGAGGTGTGGCAGGATCAAGGGGATGCGGAGGGAGGGCAGCAACGCAACGCTTTTGTGCCACGAGCGCAAAGTGTTGTTGGCTGAGTCAACCGAACACATATAAAAAAAAAACTCGACGTCGAATAGATTCTTTCAATTCACTTTACAGAGGGGGGGCCGCCCCCCCCCTTAGACGTTTCAATCTGCAATTGAAATATCAATTCCTTTGTGAGGGGGGGTGGTTATTGAAAGAATCAATAAAAAGGGAGGGGTGAGACAAGGGGGGGGCCCCCCTCCCTCGGCTGACCCCTCCCTTTAATTGAAAGAATCAATTTAGTTCACTGAACCTTTCAATTTTGAGCCTCGCCATATTTCGTAAACAACAACTTCCGCTGAGCTCCTTCTGAGCTCGCTTTCGTGAATATTCTAATTGCACACACTCACCCACTAACATGGAAGTTGAAAATGAGCCTTTCAAAAACGACTTTCCTCTACAAAATACGCAGGGGCTTCCACTTTCATGTCAGTGAGTCCAAGAGTACCATGAGTTGTTCGCCGTTGGATGCAGGCTTCCAAGCCCGGCCGTTCCCGGTCAAACCCAATGGCACCGCCTTTTGCACGCACCTGCGCCGCCTGGCTCCACCCCTACGGCGCCGGACCCCCATGCCTCGGAGGGAAGTGGCCTGGACTTAGTGCAAATTGAATTAGTGCAGTTTTAGAGTTACCCAAATATCCCAAATTGCGATCCCCTTCCATGTTGCAGCATGGCGTGCAACCAGTGCAAACCGTGGCTCTTCTGTGCTTTTGAATGCAAGAACTTCCAGTGGATCAATCACCCCCTACAGTGGATCAATCACACCCTAGCTCAGACTCAATGGGGAAAATCCTGTCAGCACTTTTGTGAACTTCCTCCGTGACATGGTGCGCCATGTGGCGCGGTGGGCTGAGGCTGTTCTTAACTCTGTACAAGCCCGGCCCGAACCCCAATCGACAGGCCGAGCCGAACCAACCGCTGACGTCGCTGCCATGTTTTCAATGCACGTCGCAGCGCTTTGAGGGTCAAGCAGCGCATGTGTTGCACACGCGACGACGCCGCTGGACGTGACATGGTGACGCCGCTAAACCAGCCTGGTCCAGCGGTCAGGCTGGACCCTGCGGTTTTGGATAAAATCTGGACGCCCAGCAGCGAGGAAATGATTCCAGGCTTTAGTATTCGCAAGCAATTCTGACCCAGCAAAGCAGCAAACAATAGCCAAAGTCTTTTGATTGAAAGTTTTCACCATTTGAAGGTCCTTCCTTCTGACTCCATGACAACCTCAAATGGGGTCTATACTGTAGTTACTGTAGCGACTTTTGGCATTATCTCCCCATCCTTATGGGTGAACTATGGGCATTTGCGAGGTGGATTTGAACACGGCACAATGAACTTACAACCTGGATTGGGTCAACCAGACGTTGGTTTCACGAGCGTTTCTTGTCATTTGGACATGCTCTGAAGTCGATCTGTTCCATCCAGGGCCTGCACCAAATATCTAAAGTTATACTGATACTTATTAATATATAGGCATTGCAAATGCTGGTAGGTCGGTAAGTGCCCCGAGTCCCAAGGACCAATCCTTGGGTTCAAAAGACTTTTGCAAATACCAAAGCATTGGACGCATCTCACCAGATCTGCTTGGACACGGCGTCAAGATTGGAGCTCGGTGGATCAGGAGGTGTGGAAAGGTTCAACTTCAGGCGCTTCAGTGGTGGCGCAAAGATCGCAGACTTCCTGAGTGAAGGTGGCAGGTGCCTTTGTTATAGATTGGAGGCCTTCAAACTGAGGTTTGGTTGGAAAGGATTTTCATGTTCTTGTTTGTTGAGGTTCTATAATTTCTTTTGATGTCGTTTCTTCGATGGCTGGACTCCAGACCCCAAGAGCTCCACAAAAACATGGGCCTCCGCCCTCCATTGCCCACTAAAACACTTGCTATATTATATTGATGTACCACTCTAAAAGTATCCATGAACATGTCGCTACCCCCGGTGAATTCAGTTCAATCGAGACCGATTTGGCAGCTGCTTGTTCAGGCTGAAATTTCAACGAAAGAACCTAAGACCAGGACCGACCAAGTAAACCCAGCTCCACTTGCACACTTGACACGCCTCCAACAATAGACGAATGACCCTGACGCGTGACGGTCACAGTCCTCCTACGGGGCAACCGTAAAAGGCCATGCGGCGAACATTGCTGGGGGCCCCACCCACGTGAGCCAAACTCATCTTCTCAACCTGTACGGCTGAACTTATTGCTGTCCCACCTGCGGATTTATGTGAGCTCTACTAGTACATGGTGCTTTGCCCAGCGCCTGCCCCAATCTCCGCGAAGCTTCTCCATCTCCTTGGAGTCGCTGGCCTTGGAATCTTCTGCCTGCAGCTCCTGGCGTCGCATGAGGACAACAATAAGTCCAAAGTTTAAGAAATCAACTGTGGAAATACTTACCCACATGGTGGTTTCTGTGCAGTGGCGGTTTCTATGGCATTATGATATCGATTCGTGCATGGTTCGTGTCGATGCTTGGCGGGGTCCAACAAGGGGGGCGCCATCGGGCGTCTGCCATCGGCCTGTAAGGCTTGAGGTGTTAGGACGGAGGCGCCCACACCGGTCTTCTCCTCCTCGAACAAGGCTGGGGGGCTGCGGTGCCGGTCGCGAGCTCGTCCATTACGTGAGAAAAAGGCCAAGATCAAGGGGATTCAGGGGGATTCTCTTGTTCATAAAATCGAAGATCTTGAACTGATGTGCTGCCTATGGCGAATCTGCGAAGCGTGCTGATTGGCCATTCCAACATTAATAAACAGTGGAACACAACCCCTTTCTCTCACCAACTGGGCCAGGCAAGAGCATTCAATGGAGTACGGTATTGCTTAATCAGATCTTCGTTTCTTTTGGAAACGAATCGGTCGCGAGATCTGGCCTGGCACCCGGGTGGCTGCGAAGTGGTCGGAGCTCCCGAGGTGGTTGGGGTGATGATTTGCACCGTTTTCAGCGGTTAATGGGTGTAGCGTATGGTCACACTGCAGGTGTCCAGCTCATGTGGGCACCACTTCTGAAGCTTCTCAGATATATACCTGATGCTCGTAACGTCTCAATCAGATTCACTGCCTGGTTACATGGTTGACACGGTCCAGTGTCCGAGGCTCAAAGGGCTGCGACATCTGCAGCAAGAAGTTCCCTGCCGCTTCCACCGCCAGATCTGAGGCCATGAAGACGTGGCCCGGCTCGAGGAAATGTCGGATCCTCAGTGGGCAGTGGGGAGAAGGTCGGTCCATCGTGTCATCCAAGTGTGTCGGTCCATGTTTGGCTTCACTTTGAGTCGGCGCCCCCGATTGACCATTTGAGTGGCAACCCGCCGTGGCATCCGCGAGACCACTCTAAAGGTACGGCAACCCAACTTGTGCTCCCAGAGTGGCCATGTCACCTTACCGATATCCATGCATGGGGACTGTGGCAAACAAAGGCTTCCCACTCCTCGATTGGAATCTACGCACTGTATCTCATGATAGGTGTCATCCAACAAAATAATCGACACTACCATGTTGTAAGCTGTCAAAGCACTCTTGGATTTAAGAATGATTCCGCTCTATCAGGTAGTATGCTTTAGCAGCTCAAACCATCCTTGTCTGAAATGGGGTTAGGTAGAGGCTGCACAAAAATGACGCCTGTGCCTGTATCGCAAGTATTAATGCTCAGTCGTGCTTAATAAGTGAACTCAATCTGCGTGGATGTGTTTTATCATCGGTGAAATGCACTGATCATCACTGATCAAACGAAAAAGAATGAAACATAATAATACATAATATTCCTTATAAGCGAGAGCCAAAGTTCACAGAACAAAGGAGAAAACATTGGACAAACATTTCTTTAAACCAATTATTTCCGATGTCTGATGCGACGAACACACAAGCGAGAACTAATTACCCAAATGTTCACAGCACAAAATTCAAGTAGACTTGGTCCATTGGCTTCTGATGGAACCAACACGTTCGTTTCATCTTGGCCGTCCCTCGCTCCGGGCCAGAATGCGAGCGTCTCGGCCACAAGGAACAACAAACATTATGAATCTATAGAACTATATTGATTGAGTAAAAGTATACACCAATATTGAATTATTGGAAACATAATACATAATTGAGTAAAATGAACATTGAGCCCACAACAGCCTCAATTCCTGACTACAAGAGCACGAGCAACCGCGAAAAAGAGGCACCTTTCCCTAGCCGCGGAATGGATCCACCTGGGGTCGTCCACCTATTTGAGCACACATCCGTCGCCCGTCGTGGCACCAATCTGGGATCTTCGAGCGCTTGTCGCTCCGTGCATAGCGCTGATCCGCGAAGATCATCACGCCATAGTCGCCTCAATCGGAGTCATAGGTATACACAGAGCGTGGGTAACCCGAAGACCTGAGAAAATACAAAGTGCACTCTGGGATTTCATAACTGCGTTGAACAACCAGTAGCTGTAGCTACACAATGCAGTCATCTCGATCACCTGGAGCAAACTTAGTAGCAAAATAGGTATGCTACTTACCCTGGTTAAACGTAGTACGCATTTTTGCCGGAGTTTTCTTTACAGTAGTAGTTGAAGATGAGGGTATACATTATATAATACTATGTATGCATATACTTCAGGCAAACACAAACTTATTATGCTTGTTAACCATGTTCAAAAAAACGCTGCGGGTCAGCTGCGGATCGAATTACCAAGTCCAATTTTCATGGCAGGTGTGGGACGGTCAATTACCACACCGTTTTACTTATTTTAAGATAACAGGCTTCCCGGTGTCAAATTGACCACCCACACGGCCGCAGGTCTCCCAATGTAGGATTCTAGGGGGTAAGGGTTGACATGTGTGTGTTTCAACGTTTGTCTGGCCAGTGTCTTTGTTTGAATGGCAAGGACGTGCCAAGCGATACAGTATCTGGAACTGCTAGTTGATTTCATGCAGAGGTTGGATTGTTTATCCTGCTGACAGTATGGAATGGATATCTAAAATGGTATAGTCAGCACAACGGTATGCAAGTCAGTGACATAATACAAGGACATTGGGAAGGGTTTTGCATTAAACATATTTATAGTTTAAACATGGTAACACAATTTAAAACTATATAGTTAAACATTTGCTGAGCCACACTAAGCCAAGAAAGCAAGTCACAAAATGGCTATTAGCTCAAAAAAACGATGTCTGTATGCAAAATTTCTTTGGAGTTTCTTGAGCTCTATGTTGATGAGTAAGTTCTTGCAGTGAGGAGAGACATTGTTATGAGAGTTGTGGGGGGCACGCCCATGAGTATAGAGGGGATTGGTCTCCATGATTTTAGGCCTTCCAACCACGTGGCAGCTATAATATAAATTGGAAAACAATCACATCCAAGATGCCTACTGTAAAAGATTCTAAAAGCCTACAGTAGCTGTCGGCTTAATTAGTCAAAAGGAGTTCTCACCCGAAAGCCATCGAAAACCACCACAAATCCCAGCTGCAAAGTCTTTCGCTCCAACGTGTTCACGCGTTCCCGTTCGACACTGGGGGCGTCCTCCGAAACACTGGGGGACTCCGTCTCCGTCCCCGTCCCCGTCGAGGCGCGCTTGGATCGGATCACACGGCCGAGGCATTGGGAGGCCTGGCGCATGGCGTCGAAGTTGAGGAACTCCGATTCCTGCGCGATCCCAGCGAACTCGCCAGGACTGATGGGGATGGGATGGGGATGGGCAAGGTGGTAGGGCTCCGGGTGATGAGCGAATGGATTCTTCAAGGGTCTGGAGAGTGAGAGATGGACCTGGATGAGCTCATCTGATGTGTCCTAGATCCAGGGAAAAAACTGCGGAGGTTTTGGGGGGTGAATCTCTAAGTGGAGTGGGTCCAACAAACATATATCATCTAATATATCACATCAAATATCTGGGGGGTCAGTCTATTCTTTCCTGACAGCATCACCAAGCTCTAGGTCAACCTCTACTTGATCGCCATCATGCACCCCCATGGCATTGTCCGTGGCTTGACACAGTCCTTGATATCGTAGTGTTGGCGAAGGAACTCCAACCTGCAGGCGCGTCGCCATGGCATTTGGGGCCAACAGACCGGGTGGTGAAGGTTCCAGAACTCTGATTCGGTCTGATTGGACCCATGAACTCCGCGCCCGGGCAGGAGAAGCCTCACTTGAGAGGCTTGCCTTCCACAGGGGTTTCACCCGCAGAAAACTTTGAGTACCCAGAAGACGTCAACAGGCATGAAAGCTCAAAGGCACTTCGAGCCGGTCCCAGGTTGGTCAACGTGTCGTTCCGCATGTTGCAGGTCATGGCCGCCCATGGCCCGGACATAGTGTGGGACGTTGATCATCCGTGGGACGTAGTGAGTTGGAGAACCATGTTCCAGATGTTCCAGGGCATTAGTTGTGGCGAGGAGCCAACTAGGCACCCTGGAGCTACCACGGTGAAACTTCTGTGGGTCACACTGGAAGCTTTTAAGCAACTAAAGCTCCAAAAAGATGACTATGACTATGGAATGGCATGATCCAATATAAAAAGATCCATGCATATATCATGAATGATTCATCATTCCATGCCAGGTCGGCCTAGCAAAACCCCCCCCAAAATGCACAGGGTCACATCCATCCACATCAGCAGTCTCCAGGTCGCTGTGCTCATCCCCCATCCCACACCATCCCGCACCTGGCACGAAGCTCACGAGATAAGGTGTATTGAAAGGGTACACCGAAGAGCACCACCTCACGGATTGAAGAAACCTTTGACGGCGTTTCTCACGGTTTAAAGACCCTCAATTCGAAAGAGTTTCCATGTTGTCCTTTCAGAGAACCTCACACTGCGTGATCTCCTTCGTCCTTTCTTTTTCGAGTCCCTGACCCGATATTGAGGTGGGGGGTCCGAAGCCCTCCGACACTTCGAGAGTGGATGAAGATCTGGCATCCAGGTGTGATCAATCAGGGCCGCAGCCTGGTTTTGAGGAAAAAAGGGCATTTCCAGAAGGCCCTCACCTGCCTGGTCAGGGGCCAGGCTTTGAGTTGTGTCCTCTCACCAGGTCTTGTTTGGTGTTGCGATCTCAGGGGGCTTGATGTACTCCCGTGCGTGCTCCGACCAGAGCCAAGAAGCACATCTCAGAAAGTAATCAACAAACCGACAAGTTTGAGTCAACTCCTAGACCGCTAAGCCATGGAGGTAACAAGAAGAAAACTTTAAAAAGTTTATGAACACCTAGTATAAGGAAACAAAAAGTGGCAACGTCTGATACAACAACGAACCACGCCCGTCTCCATCTCTCCGAAACGCGCAGCGCCCGTAGTGTCGATCAAAGTCAATGCCTTCGGCCACCTTGCGGACGAGGCAAGGAAAGGCAATGCCGAAGCGGCGCGCGTGGTGCCCCAAAAAGGATCCTTTGTAGGGCTGGGATGTTTCTTTTCAACCAACATAGTGGGCTGCATTTCGTTCGACATACCCATTGGTCGTCTTTATCTGAAGGGGGGGGATCACCCCTTTTAGCCTCTTTTAGCCAACCATTCTTAAACAGGCCATTTGGTCCCAGGCACCCGGGTGGTCTTTGGTGGAATGGTTTGGATGTGCAACACATTGGGATTCACATTCTGCCTGTCCATTCGAGATTGGGATGGCAAATAGGGGCAGACGGGGGGTAGGTCCCGCCTGCTGCAAACCTCTCTCACCCGACCTCAAGCCATCGTCGTCGCTGCCTGCTCTGAAACGACAGTGAAACCGTGTAAACCATGGAGAGGAACCAAATAATGAATTTACTTTCCGGCAACTACATGATACGAGTAATTATATTCATGTTTTAAAGCTCGCCAACTCATAAAACCCCAAAGCACGTAGAATCAACTCCGGACATTCTCCAAACAAGCCTCAAACGCCCTGTGACTTCTCCTTCACCAACAGCGCCCCTTGACTTCTCCACCCGGCGCCTTCCCACGTGCCACTGAGAGGAACACAGCGCCCTGACCAGAGTCGCAGGCCTCCGATCTTCCAACCAGGGAGGAGGGACGACCCGAGGTGAACAACGACTCCCCCCCCGTGGGGTGAAGAAACATGGCATGCAGAAACGACAAAAGCTGGGCAAATGCCCCAAGAAGATGGTTTCATGGATTTTTAAATCGATGGTGCGGAAATACAATGAAGCATTGCTTTTTAGTAGGGAAGGGGATGTCTATACTAGCAAGCAGTGTCTTCTCCTTCCTCAGGGAGGTCGAGGATGAGGGTTGGCTTCCAACATCGCAGTGGGCTTTGGTCCAGAAAGTTGGTCACGGACCCACCCAAGTTGGTCACAACACACCCGGTGGGTTGTGGCCGACAAAACACAAATAACACTGATAACTGTTGGACATCCAAAGCTCACACACACACATGCACGCATGGGAGTCTAAATTTAAACGGCTTCCGCACTTCTACAGAACCGCTGGTTACCATTTATCATGTTCATCTTCCCTCAGCTAAAATCATGATGTTCAACAATCATCCGGTCACAAAACCAATTAAACCAGATCAATATTACATATAAGCTATGAAGGAAAATGATAGGACATGTCAATGTCACTCACGATTACAATGACCTCCATCTCCATCTCTCCGACCACCTTGGATACCGTGCCAGCACCCTGGAAGCCTGTCGGTAAAGGTTCAGAGCATAGGTGGTGGCAACCACATCCTCGTGCGGCCAAACATTCAAGATGGAACTGATGGAACTGCCAAAGTCATAACTATCGATACCTGTCACATCAAGTTACGCACCACCGCGGAAATCAAACTTAATAACAACCAACTCCGATGGACCCTCTGTCTTGAGGCCTCGGTCTGACGTCGGGGGTCGCCGGCGACTCGGCGGGGAGCCGAAGCTCGCCAGCACGGACCCGACGGCGGGGTTGCCCGCCGGTGATCTGAGGGCGGTGCAGCAGTCTCGATGAACAAGAGCTTGTGCTTGAGGACTCGGGAAATCACACCTGGAGCGAGTCAACGAGTTATGACCCCAAAGAAAGGAGGCTGGGAGCCTATCCGCCCACAAATAAAAACTCATATAAATCCACTAACAAACACATATTGCGTCATCAAGCTGAAAATATTCAGACTCAAACCCTGCTCAAAATAATGCAAGAACAGCAAAGCCAGTTGAGTTGGTGACATGAAACCATAGGTGCACTCCATTTGGAGGGACCTCACTTGGACCACTAACCGGGGAGGGGTAAAGTTCACCTTCTTGATGTAACTTCTTTGTTCAGGACACATGTAATCCCGAGTACCTATTAAAAAACGGACCCCTATTAAAAAAAAGTCATGCCGGATCCCCCTAAATTCGGTTTATATATGGTTTTAAATTACCGCCCTTTCAAAACGCTACTAAACTACCAACATGATCGATTTTGGGGGTAGTTTTTTTTAAATTAGGTTCCCCAAAACTCCCCCAAAATAGGTCCCAAGACAATACACCCTCAAAATCGACCATGTTGCGTTGCAGACTCTCCGCTGGCTCTCCTAGTAGCGATGCCAGGAGCCCCTAGTAGGGGCCTTGCTCCTAGTAGCGATGCTAGGAGTCCCTAGTAGCGTCCTTGCTCCTAGCAATAGCTAACTCTAACTGTCTGGCTGTCCCTGACTCTCCACTCCCTCCCTCCACTGGCTGCCACGAAATCTGCACTTCAAGGTCAACAAAGTACTACACCTGCCACGAAATCTGCACTTCAAGGCCAACAAAGTACTGCGCGCGCCGCAAATTCTGCACTTCAAGGTCCATAAAGTGCTGCGCCTGCCACGAAATCTGCACTTCAAGGTCAACAGAATACTGCACCTGCCACGCAATCCGCATTTCAAACTCCACAAAGTACTGCACCTGCCACGAATTCTGCACTTCAAGGTCCACAAAATATTGCACATCCACTGACCCTATTTTGGGCCCCCGATTTCAGGGACCCCCTATTAGAAAAAATGTGACCGAGGTTTCCTTATTAGGGGGGGGGGGGCGTGTTTTCTATTAGGTGGACCGGATTAGTTGTCCCGTTTCTTGTGGTCTTGACTCACTTTCATCGATCGAGACTCCTCACCCCGACTGGTTGAGACAAACTGTTTTCTTTCCTACCCGTGTGCCTGTCTCATACCACTTCTCGAGGACTTGCTCCAAGTAGCGGTAGGAGGTAAAGAAGCACACCTTGGATAATGAACAAATGATCATCCATGGGTGAAAAGTGTGCGCAGGAAAGCCGCGAACAGCCTTGAATATCGTCAAACGGCCGGTGCACCTTCCAAGAAGAGCGCGTATGGCGAACCTCTGCGTTTTGGACTTGGGCAACACGAGTGATGCGTCACTGGGGCACTAGGCCGAGCGTGACAGAACTAGGTTGATGTACAGCCCATGCCGATGACCTCCGAGTGCCAACTCCCAAACACGACAAACATGGAGTTTTTACATAGTGGTTTTTAACAATTCCCAACACGGGGATCTTCCAATAGGCTCTTTTCAGGCGCGACCTTGAACTTGAGGCCAGGGGGAGGAGGTCGAAAGCTAGCCGAATCGCACCGGATGTACTAGTCACATAGTCGGCAAAGCATGTAGTGAGTACATGTTCTGGGAGGAAGGTTGCTATGTACATACTTTGCGCTAAAGAATGTAAATGTGACATCGCTGACTGGGACTGGGAAGGGTACATTGGAACAACCCGGGTGCACTCGTTGGCAGGCACGAAGATGCGTGATCGGCAAATCTGGGGGGTAAATTTACCCTCCGCTTTTGTATGCCTTGAGGGATAAGCATTTCTGACATCATACGGACTGTACATACACTAGGGCGTCCGTAGTGTAGGAGAAGCGCGGGTAAAAGGTATGGAATAGAGTGTCTTGAGGAAATAGCCGTCTTATGGTTATTGCAAATCTGGGGGGTAAATTTACCACCCGCTTATGTATGCCTTGTGCCGGAAAGAGGAGTAAGCATTTCTGGCATCACAAGGACTGTGCAAACACCAGGGCGTCCGTAGTGTAGGACAAGCACTGGTAAAAGGTATAAGGAGCAGAGTGTCTTGAGGAAATAACCGGCTTATGGTTATGGCAAATCTGGGGGGGTAAATTTACCCCCCGCTTATGTATGCCTTGAGCCGGAACGAGGGGTAAGCATCACAAGGACTGTGCATACACTAGGGCGTCCGTAGTGCAGGATAATTACTGGTAAAAAGGATGTAAAAGGTATCAGGAATAGAGTGTCTTGAGGAAATAGCCTGTGTATGGTTATAGCAAGCCTTGGGAGTAAATTTACCACCCGCTTATGCATGCACTAGGTTAGAAATAGGGTAAACAACTTGTAAGGGTGAAGTACAAGTCCTATGCAGCAAGCAGCAGCCAGCAGCAGCAGCAGCAGCAGAAGCAGCCGCCTGCAGCCAGCAGCCAGCAGCAACCGCCAAGCAGCCAGCCAGCAGCACCACGCAGCAGCAGCGCAGCACCAAGCCGCAGCAGCAGCAGCAGCACCACCGGCAGCAAGCAGCAAGCAGCAGCAGCGGCGTCGTCAGCAACAGCAGCAGCAGCACCAAGCCGCAACAAGTAGCAAAGCATGAACTACCTCAAATGATCTCAAGTATACACGCAACTCATTATCATTATACCTATCAGTTTGTTAACTTCTGCATTGAATGAGCCACTCGAACCAGCAAAACGACGCCAACCCTGGACGGAGGCTGAAGGAACGACGTAGCATGGAGGTGAAATGGAGCGTGCTCACCGTATGCAAACAATTGCACAAACATATGCACACCTTGCCGCTGTCTGAACACCAGCAGAGCTATCACGCAATTCATTCAGTGGAATGGTGGTATGCACCACAACAATAAGCGAAGCGGCGCAGCTGGGAGTGGAACCGCGGGGGGGGGGGGTTAGCTTGATATATCAATCTTTAAGGCACGCAGCCCCTCCCACCGCAACATTGCTAAAGCAAAGAAAAACTCAGCTAGCATGCTAGCTTTCGTGACTTGCAGCACCGCCGCTTTCACGGCCCCCCTCCAAGCATCAACGATGTCCCCGCAGCCGGGCAGCGATTTTTCTCCAAGGCGGAATCAATGGCATTGTCACGTTGGTCAGGGCCCACCGGAGGCTGACATGGACGTGGGTTAGTGGGTTCGATATACAGGGTTCTGGTGTTGGTTTGGATCCAACTTTCCAAAATGGATGCCGATGGCAGTGTGAGTGTGGGAGCCAGCAACCTACACAACGGTACATGAACCCTATGGTGCTTCACGAGGCCTAAGAGCAATCTGGAAAATGTTTGAACATGCCTTTGCACTGAACATGGGAAACATGGGGGGTATATAAATGTTTGTCTGCCTTCACCATTTTCCGTCTGAGATTAAAGAAACACAAGACACCTTGAAACCATCAGCCCTGAAGAATTAGGAAGGGAGTGATGGGAGTGTAACACCTGTGCCTGAGCTAGGCTCTACATATATGACTCTGTTATAACCATCACAAGTGGCGACAAGTGGTTTGACTGTGACCCTTTGGTGGTACAAGCTGGCATGACAGCGCACCTGGCAAACCCTGAAACCGCCGGAATCGTTCGACACCGGAGATCAGGTGTAGGTCACGGGCCGGGCCGCGCCGCCCGGCCCCATGTGCAGTGCGGCCATCTCTTCTCGACTCAGGACGCCATCGTTGTTGGTGTCCTCAGGGCAAAGATCCAAACCCAAAGACCAAAGACCTGGAGCACAATGAGGGTTGCTTTTTGGATTGCAAGTGTGCTTCATTGTGCTTGTAGAATCGATATAGGCACTCCTTCACATGGCTGCTCTGCTGTGAACCATCTGATCGTCCCATATCATGGTCTTGGACAGTTTATGGGCAAGTTTGGGTGTGTTGAGTCGACTGAAGCGTCGCAACTATATAACTGGAAACAACCTGCTTGCCACACCACATTTGCTCCGAAGCATCAACCAAACCTCCTGTTTGGATACATTCTCCACTTGGAAGTGATGGCATCTGAAGCTTTCCTCTCCCAGAACAATGACAAATAATGACAGAAATGGAACAAAGAAACGGGCCCATTCGCAGGGACAGTCGAGATGGTTGGCAACATTTCTCTCCCAAAAGCATCAAATAATCTACAGTATATAGTGAACATGTTCTTCCAACCGTTGGTTCGTCTCAACACTCGACCTTCCAAACTCTTCAAAAGATCAGCGGTGGGGTGGGGTGGAAATGGCTTGAGACGGGTTTGAGACCAGTTCACATCAGTTCACTCACCATCCATAGCCATTCCAACTTCCGCTTCCCAGTGTCCAGGGCCGAGAACAAGTCCGGCCGTGCACCCACCGCCGAGGCCACCGTGACGGGTGCAGCTGTCGCCATGCGCGGGGCGGGCGCGTAGGTGACGCCACCTTGACCTGAGACCGAACGCCCTGAGCGATCTGACACAAGGCAGGGAATGAGCAGAACTGACTTGAACAAGAGGAGGTGGCCAAAGCAATCTCCATCAATCTCCCAACCCCAAACAAGAAAAAGCCTACTTTGTGCCTTCCATCGCTTCCAGCAGCAAGTCACGCATCGTTGCGGGTGTGGTTCCGGTGCGCTCTTGGGAAGATCTGACTGCATGAAGTGAGTTTTATAAATAGTTTGTAGATAATATATATGTTTATAAATGTATATACATAAGATATACAACAATTTGGCTTGTTGCTGTCCCACCGAAAATCTAGCTTGTTGAAATAAACACACCATTTGGATTCTAAAACCTCTTCATTTGGTGGGGTGCTGTTCAACAACAAATCTACAGTCAGCAGTCAACCAACATGTGTTTAGGAGCCCGGCTTTTAGCGAACCATTGATGAAGACCCAAGTGCCGCGCCTGGCACAGCACCCGGCCGCATGTGCAGTGCGGCCATCTCTTCTCGACTCAGGACGCCGTCGTTGTTGGTGTCCTCAGGGCAAAGATCCAAACCCAAAGACCAAAGACCTGGAGCACAATGAGATACAATGAGGGTTGCTTTTTGGATTGCAAGTGTGCTTCATTGTGCTTGTAGAATCGATATAGGCACTCCCTTGCAGTCAAGAGCCCCTTTCAAGGTTCAAAAAGCCCTCACATGGCTGCTCTGCTGTGAAGCATCTGATTGTCCCATATCATATCAGGGTCATTGGCAAGTTTACGGGCAAGCTTGGGTGTGTTGAAATAGGGCACGTGATTGAAGCGTTGAAACTAAATGGATGGGCATTCTTGTCAAACAACCTGGTTGCCAAACCACACTGGCCCCTCAGTGGGTCTGGAGACGTGCAAGTGTCGGACCTGAACCGGAAGCAACACGAATCCAAACCAGCTGCAGTAATATAATCTCAGCTGAAAGTCGGTTCATCTTTCAACTTTGAACACTCGACCTTCCAAACTCTTCAAAAGATCAGCGGTGGGGTGGGG